GCCGACACAGTGGTCATATTCGATTCCGATTGGAATCCGCATCAGGATCTGCAGGCACAGGATCGTGCCCATCGTATCGGTCAGCGTAATGAGGTGCGTGTGCTGCGTCTCATGACGGTTAATTCGGTGGAGGAGCGCATTTTGGCCGCGGCCCGRTATAAGCTGAACATGGACGAGAAAGTCATTCAGGCGGGCATGTTCGATCAGAAATCTACGGGAAGTGAGCGTCAGCAATTCTTGCAAACAATTTTGCATCAGGACGATAACGAGGAGGAGGAGGAGAACGAGGTGCCAGATGATGAGATGATTAATATGATGATAGCGCGCAGTGAAGAGGAAATTGAAATATTCAAGAAAATGGATATTGAACGAAAGAAAGAGGATGAGGAAATACATCCGGGCAGAGAACGTCTCATCGACGAGTCTGAGTTGCCCGACTGGCTGACCAAGGATGACGACGAGGTGGAGCGTTTCCATTACCAATATGATGAGGATACCATATTGGGTAAGTGGATATATCTTCACATATGTAGGGGAAAGTAAACTAATTCTTTTACTTGCATTTGTAGGTCGTGGATCACGACAGCGCAAGGAAGTTGACTATACGGACAGCTTGACCGAAAAGGAATGGCTGAAGGCTATCGATGATGGCGCTGAATTCGATGAAGAGGAAGAGGAGGATCTCGACTCCAAGCGCAAGCGTCGCAAGCGCAAGAATCGGAAAGACGAATCCGATGATGATTCACTCATATTGAAGCGCAGACGCCGCCAGAACTTGGACAAGCGGTCCAAGAAGCAAATGCACAAGATCATGAGCGCTGTCATCAAGCACACGCAGGATGGTCGCACGCTGTCTGAGCCATTTATGAAGCTACCCTCGCGACAACGGCTGCCCGACTATTATGATATTATCAAGCGGCCGGTGGACATTAAGAAAATACTGCAGCGCATCGAGGACTGTAAATATGCGGATCTCAATGAGCTGGAGAAGGACTTTATGCAGCTCTGCCAGAATGCGCAAATCTACAATGAGGAGGCGTCGCTGATCTATCTCGATTCTATAGCGTTGCAAAAGATTTTTGTCAGTGCACGGCAAAGAGTTACGGCGGCTGCGGACGCGGCTGCTGTGGCCGCTGGCGAGAACACTGGTGATGCTCATGGCAATGGCGGGGGCGCCGGTGGCTCCGATAATTCGGACAATGACGACGACGATGGCGATGATGGTTCCGATGATGAGGAGATAGCCACCACATCTGCGGCGGCCGTTAAAATGAAGCTAAAACTTAATAAATCGCTGGCCAGTGCGCCAGCCACGCCCACACAATCCTCAGCAGCTGCCTCRGTGGCCAGYGGTGCAGCGACCACTTCYAAGAAGCAGACGCGTCGGAAGCGCGCTCAAAAGAAGTACACCATTTCGGATGACGATGACGACGACATGGACTAGCTGCCACTGGGCGTCATTTTCAAACGAGCATCGAACGGTGCCGAGTTYAACTAACATTTAGTTTACTTTAAGTTCTTTTAGCCACGCCCCAATTCAGTTCRCCCCACTCCAAGCGTCACAGCCCCYACGTATCCCAATCCCAAATCCCGTCAGCATTGCAATAATGAAACTTTCAACAGTTTTTCGCACATACAAAAAAACACAATGATATATTCACATATATTTAAAGCAAATACTTTTAAAATAAATCCACAGTCTGTCCTAAATAAACCGGACTGTCTTTATAGAAAAACAAAAACAAATCTACTGGAATTTACAAAACATAGAAAAAACCAAAATAGTATTTGCCAAAAATACATTGTAATTTTAGGAAATGCAATACAAAATATGTATATATAT